TATATATATATCTTGTGTAATGAAGAAAATAAAGGGGTAATGTATAACAGCCTCAAAAATCCAGTATTGGACTGAAGCCTTGTTGAGGTAAAGTAGACACTTTACACATTTAGCATAAACAAAGGCTTATTACACATTTAACTTTTGTTAAAGTTTACCCAACACTGAATCTAAAAGAAAAGTAATCCCTCCAGTAACTCCCTCCCCACTTTCAACAGACTCCTTCAATTACCTCAAACTACCGCAAACATTCCTGGTGGGCATGCCTCTCTGTAAGAAGAAATGTCACGTGATAGACTCAGTATCTGTTCTGCAATGTTGTCTTTTGGTCTGAATATAATAATGCACATTGCCTTGCCTTATCAAAATCAAAAGAATTTGTGGTATGATAAAAATGAAGACTGGGGATATACAAATTGAGTGTATACATTAAAAAAAAAAAAAAAAACACATTTAAGAAAAGCTCACTTTTCTAAGTGACGAACATCGTAGTGACCGTTACCCCTCCAGCACAGGAATGTTGCTAAACTTGTCTGGAAACTGATATGTTTATGCCATCTCCCCCTCATTGTGTTTGTCTGAGGGTTATATGTGTGCGTGTGTGTGCGTGTGTGTGTGTGTGTGTGTGTAATCACACCTGCAAGTACTGAGACCTGGCCGGGTCATTCAACACTGGTCCAATTGTCTTCCCTCCCTCCTTCTCCCCCTCTCTGACCTCTCTGCAGGTCTCAACGACCCAGATTTCTGTAATTTTCCACCGATAACAATAGAGCATCCCGTCCTCATGAATGAGCTCAAACTAATGCAGATTGTGGACGAACTACAATTACCGCCTTCGCCAACCGGTCATGTTTTAGTTTACATTCATGTTTGTCCAAAATGTCATCACTTCATCTTCTCGGAAATTTGCGTTAAAAAGATTGTCATAATTAGCATATCAACTCTTGAGTTGTGGCCAAAAATGTGTTTTGTGAGGTCACAGTGACCTTTGACCAACAAATTCTGCTCAGTTCAACCTTGAGTCCAGGTTGACCTTTGTGCCAAATTTGAAGAAACTCCCTCCAGACGTTCCCGAGAACGTTGCATTCACGAGAACGAAACAGATGGGCAACGTGAAAACATAACGCACACTGTAGGTTTTATTTATCATATCGACAGTTATGACAAAATTTTACTCAAATTACTGAGATCTCAGAACATGGAGATCAATAAAGTCCAACAATGTAAGGAACTTGACTGTCCAGACATGAAATGTAAGTGCACACAACAATGGAAACTACTATGTGTCTAAATTGAACAGTAAATTCAATTTGGCCACATGACAACTGCTTACTTTCCTTTTGAGAGATGTAGCTGTTTAACGGAGATCTCGAGAGGGAACTTGTAAAGTACAATGTTTAAATGATGATTGAAACGATGGCCAAACCTACAAAGAAATGTGTGTAAAAAGTTCCATTTTTGCACTCATTGAAAGGTTTTTCCTCTCCCACTCAAGGGTGTGTCCTTGTGGGTGTCTCATGGGAGAGCACGCAAAGCTTAGTCAGCGAAACAGCTCCAGACTTGATATTTGGGGCAAGTGTAAAACAGGCCCTGCAGACAGGTTGGGATTATGCAAGACTTAACCACGACTGGAATGACTCTCTTCATGCCCGTCATGAATACCTAAGATTCTACTTTGACAAGAACTTCCACTCGATGGTGTCAAACATGCACACGTGTGAGCACTAGAACAAATATACAACTGGAACTTTCTGATATGACTTATATGTCGCACAGAGAGACAGAGAGAGAGAGAACAATAGCCAGGTGTGCAAACGTTGACGAAACAGATTATATTCTTTTACAATTTCTAATAATTGTGTTTTTTTTACAATCTGGCCTTTGGTCCAATTTTCCAAAAAATGATGATGCAGCATTTTTTAACGACATTCTTACTTTCTGTCACTGATGAAACTAAAAACACACCTTAACTTGGAGCCACATTTCAGTCATGCTGGTCAAAACACACAACCATCTCACAGTCATCAGGACATATTCATAAAGGGCATAACAATGTCAGTGCTGACACTACATTATCCTCCTGTTGTTTAGATAAGAGCCAGTTACACCATGTTACAGTGCCAACATATTAAGCCCCAGTGTTGGACTGAAGTGCACAACCAACAACTTATGGAATTGTTTGATTTGATACTTAAGTTAGTGCATAGATTGTCCTTGGGCTAGCTGTATAATGTATGATCAAAAACCCTTTACTACATGTA